TAATTATTTTACACGAAAAAGAATAGAACACAACTTGACTCTACGAACACCAGGATGAGAATGAGAGTAAAATGTCTGACAAGTCAAACTTAAAAGCGTCGCTAAACAGCGGCCTCTCTTCTCGGTGTCATTGAGATCAATTAATATTCAATAATATAATATCCGCGACCGATAATCGATACGCAGTCTTCGGTAACGCAGATCCCTACACTATCCGATGTTAAATTGATTGATCCGATAAGTCCATAGAAAATTGACTGCCAGTATTGATTTGACAAATCGTCAACAAGACAGCAATTTCGTCTTCCTGGTGTTTTTGAGTATTCGGGACTCTCATCCAAATATATACACCAGGAAGCTCTTTCCTTGATGACTTCTAATTTCAATGATAGATAGTGATGTGCTCAAAGTCTTTGTGATCCGGCGAGAATCTTCAATGTTTCGCGAGAGTTTTCATAACAGAACGAAAGGACAAATCAGAATCGAATTTATTTATTATAAGTCGACTATTAATCTGACGACTTTGGCAAATTGGTTTGTTAATGCGTGAATTTATTATTTAAACAAAATAATTTGAGTATTAAAAAGAAAACAATTTTTATAATTTATAACATTTTACAGCCATTATGGCTGAATTTCCACCCTGGTGTCGTTAATTTACAAAATGTATTATTTTTAAGCCATTTGTACGCGACAAAATGTCGCGTTACAATAGGTGCGGCTTGTTAGAAAAAAAAATTAAAAGAAACTTGAAAAGGCTTTATTGATTTTCCATCTTCTTTTCTCAACTCGTTTTTTTGCCTTTCCCCCCCTCTTTTGTTCAATTTCTTTTCTTTAGTTTTTTGTCCTTATCCACCCTCAATTTTTTTGTTATCTACTTGTTGCTGTCTTGTTAGTTGGGATTCTTTTGTTTTATTTTATTTACAATTCTAAAATAAATGAAGTTCACTAATAATGGGGGAAAATTTGAAATTCGACGATAATTTAAAGAAAAGTAGTTACAATTCTTGTAACTGGTTAAAAAAGCACAATTTTAAACTATACAATTAATTAACCTTAAAAGTATTCGAAACTACATTTCTGAAAAATTATCATTTAAAGTTAGAATATAGTAAATCGTCAGAATTAAATATATATATATATATATAATATATATAGGCACCAGATGAAGGATTAGCATTGTTTTATCGAGGACTCGCAAAATAGCACGATTAGGGATTTTGTCGAGCATTTGGACTAAATTGCGACTATTTTCTGTTTTCAACACATTGGAAATGTGCCAAAAAGTGTGAGAGTGAAAGGACGTTATATATACCAAAGGACAATAGAAAAATAAAAAGTATCCTTTATCTTTAGATATATTGTCATTTAACGAGTAGAAATAGGAAGACAATATTATTCCTAGTATGCACGAACAGATTTTATACTATGTATATATATATATACGAGAAAGATGTACATTCGTTTCGTATCTCGTGAATCCCGTCGTAAATAAGGACGAATCGATATTTATCCTTTACCTCTAAGGAGCTTCTACCGATTATATATATATATATATATATATATATATATATATTTCTTAACAGGCTACGTTATCGCTGTCTTTTGTATCCATAAACCTCAGCTTCAAACGACCATTTTTTTCCTTTCTAGCTTCTGGCAACGATGATACAATGTCTGAAGGTGAAGTAGGTTTCATCTAGAGATGTAATTTAAATTTATAGGTGCAAAAGACGAGCAAGAGAAAAGTAAAAAAAAAGAAAAGAAACATCAAAGCCAGACATTTTCCTTACAAATTTAATAAACATCAGTAAAATTAAAAACAGTTAAATTTTTCTCTCTTTAAATATAAATTTCTTGAAATGACTAATCGAAAAAAAATTAGACGACGTATTAATTTGAATTTGTTACCAATTTTATTAAAATTCAACAAAATATAGTAATAAATTAGTAAAATATTATATTTTTATTTTAATCAATTTTTGTTTGCATTTAAAAAAATGTTTTCGAAAAATCAATTAGGAAATATACACCTTTTTTGGAAATTAGAAAACTAAAAGTTTAAATAAGAGTAAAAGATTTGAAGCGGATTTTAAAGCGACATTTAAAAGTCTTTTAAATTGCCAAATAAATTCGGAAACTTTAAAAGGTCTAAACAAGGATTTTAGAAAACTGTGAGAAGGGTTTTAAAAGATTGTTGAAGAAGCCAAAGGATTCTAAAATTGTTTTGAGAGAGTTTCGAAACTTTCTAAAATATTCAACGAAAATTCGTAACATTTTCCAGGAGTTTAGAAAGTTGTAAATATTTTTTTCAAAGTATATCTCTCGAAAGGAATTGCAATAATTCTGAAATTTTTTTTACAAAGAAATTAAAAGACACTTTGACTAAACAGAAAAACATTTGTAAGAAATAAAATTTTTTAATTTTATTTCTTTTTCTATAAAGCTTCTAAATGTTGATATTCACTAATAATTGCTAAATTCAAATTTATAAAAATTAATAAATAATTGAGAATTCGAAGAATACAAGCAGATGCTTTGCGGAATTACTAATATTCTGAAGAATCAGAAATATTTAATTAGATAATCCTCGAGAATCAAGAATATTGAGATACGCTTAAAAAAGAAATTTAATTCGTTTCATGATAGAAAAAATATGTTTCCCCATATGAAAAAAAATTACCCAAAACATTGTTCGATTAAAAAAAAAGAATCAAATCCGTGACAGGAAGGTGGTACTTTTCCTCTTTAATAACGCTACAAAAGGTGTGGATCAATGCCGGAAGTTGAGCGGTTCTCTGGCTTAGTTCTCCATTATTCAGTCATACAATTCTGAATGAAAAGCAATCATATTAAATTTGTAAATTTCTATTACCGATTGAATTGAAATGAATTATTCTCAAAATTTTCCATTTCATTCTCTCTTCAAATTTATCTTCAAAATAGTGATGCAAAAATTTTTTTTTCTTTCCCAAAATAAATGTCAATAAGTTCCATCACATTTCACACACTTGTTAAATCAGATAGCTTTGAGATTTTGAAATCCGATGAGAAACATTGAATCCGTGTATATTTTGGATTGAACTGAAACTGCAAAGCTTTGGTTAAATCAAAGGCTTAACCAATAAGCTCAGTGAGCGACAGTTTAAACCGAAACTTAACGTTCAAAGCCGAAACTGCAATGCGGTGTATAATAACTGTCTACTATATGTAAGAAAATTGTGTTTAAGTCAGGAATAATTTCAAAACTTTAATATTTCATTCTTAGTATTGTTGCTTCGAGTTATCTATCTTCTGATATGTATAATATTCCATTTTACTCATACAACATATAAGTGGAATGTATTATCTGCGCGGAACCTATGTTTGTACACAGAGGGAAAACTAATTTAGATTAAATGTTTTTTCCTTTATCCGATTATTATTATTCTCTTTTATGTACTTCGTTTTACAACACTTTTTTGCTCATTTTATCTTTTTCATCTCGCGGCTAATTTTTCATTCATAGCTAAAACCTTGACATTTTCTTAATAACGCTAATTATAATTTATGCCTTAAAATTGTTGTCCATAAAAGACTCATTAGCAATCTCGGTCAAATCAATTATATACTTTTATATTCACATAATAATCATTACTTTTTTTTTTTTTTGAAAGAAGTATGAAATTAGATATAAATTTTCTTAATAATAGCCAAAAAATTTGATTTTAGATTAATCCTTTAATAAAATGTAAATATCATTCGATAATATTTAATTTTAAAAACAATCAGCTTTGTTTTTCATTAAAAAACGTAAAAGTTTCATAAAATTAAACTTCAACTGAGGCTTTTGTATATATAAAAATATTTCCATTTCTAATTTCGTTTTCTTCCTTCTTTATCATTTCAATTTTTAATACAAAGTCGCAAATGGAATTTTAATAAAAAAAACTTATGCCGAGAGTTAAAAGAAATCGACGGACAATATGGAAAATAAAGTAATAATTTTCTCTGTAAAAGATATATAAAAGTTTTCGAGAGGAAAGAAACTGACGTTTCCTATCTCAGTGCAAGTTCTAAAAGGATTTTATATTATTTTGTATTTCAAGGACAAGGATTAAATCCTATGTAAGGCTTTGAGGCAAATGATATAATTTAAAAGCGTCTTTCTTTTAAATGTAAATTGACATCTTAAACTTTATTTATACTGACAATGGAAAAATGTGTAATAACCATAAAAACCTAAAGATAATAAAGTACGAGAGTTGAAAAGTAAATAGCTATAAAGTACTTGCACTCTTTGATCTTCCGCTTCAGAAACACCAGGGATACGTCCGGCTTTTTTTCAAGGATCTCTTAATTTCAGAGCGTGAAAGTCTAGAAGAGATCTTTTTTTCTTTTTTTTTTTTTGTTTTATAAGAAAATTATTTCCGTAACTTTCCTGTTTCAATATTTCCCAAGACATTTGTTAATTAGAATTTTATTTTAAAGGACGAAAAATATATTTCATTTTTATAATTACTGATATTAAAAAAAATTGATTAAATGAAATTAAAATAATTTTATGAATAATGAAACTTTATAGAATTGGTTATTCTTTTCTTGAAAAGAACAATTTTTTGAACTTTCTCATCGATATTTTTCTCGTCGAAAATCTTCGTTATTTTTAAGAAAAATCTAGGTTAGTGAAAAGCAATTAAGTTTTTCTTCCACATTCTTTGGGGGTTACGCGAGCGCACGCTTTTTAGGAACACAAACCGCTTGCATTTTGTAAAATGAAGCTCATCCGGTACTGCGATCGCTTTAATTGAACATTATTGTGTCGATACCTCTGGCATTAATTGATTTCAATATATATATATATATATATAATACTGACTTGAAATAAAATGTAATGCAATTTTCAATTGAGAAAAAATCGATGCCTGGTAAATTTTTCTCATTTCATTATATAACCAAGTTGCAAATCTAATGAACGGATAAATTTTAAATTAAACAAAAATTAGTTTAAGTTCTCTTACCTTTGAGGGCACCTTCTACACCTTTTAACCTTCCAATAAGTGCTGCAATTTGAGTTTTATATTCCAGCGATGCATTTTCGGTCTGCTCACTTAAGGCTCGTTTAATTGCCCTTTGATTTTCTTTCTCCTTCAATGACAATTGTTCTTTCAAGCTGTCATCGAATAGCTGTTTCTGAATTTTCAGCTCCTTTAACATTGCATCTTCAAACTGCCTTTTCTCTTCCAGCATCTAGAATATACAGATTTATAAATTAAAATTAGCAACTTTTGATTAGTAGTTATTTAATAAAAAAAAAAAAACTAAAGGAATATTTATTAATTAAATTTTTGTTTTCATTTAATTTAAACGTGAACGTAAATTTGAAAATTGATTTTATTATTTTCGAAAGTAGGATAGTCCGAATGAAAGATTAGTTTAGCAAGCGGGAAACCTTAACCCATCTCTAATGTGTCAAACAAACAAGAGCCATCACTTTGTCATTGTCTAGTACTCTCAGTGAAGACAGAGTACGAAAGACATTCCAGGTGAATTGAATTGGAGTAAAGATAATTAACATTCAAGAAATTCCACAGTTTACAGAATCACATATATGTTCAAGACACATTTCTCATTTATGGAGTGTAATTGTATCAAAGTTCGGTAACACATGACAGAGAATTGGGAAAGTGGACGCTTCAGAAGACGTTGATCGTAATTAAACTTTGATTAACTAAACCCGCACTTAAGGCTCAACCAGAAACTGCCCTCATTGGCAAGTGACCTAGACGCAGGGCTTCATAGGTCCCTATACAAGCCACAAGCTGATGTATTTTGTGTGTGCCAATAACCAACAATCACTTCTGTTCAAGTTCTATTTGAAATCTAATTGGTTTAAGCCTATGACGTACCAAGCATCTTACCACTATGTGCCCAGATCCGTGTCAATAATTAACGCCTTCGCCTTGCTATACTCCTATCAGTTTAGACAAACCATATAGAGATCAAATTAGAAAGTTACATTTTTTATAACACCTAGAAAAAACATTTCAGGGTGTTTAACACTTTTGCCAAATAAAATTCCACGACTTTTCCAGGTTAAAAAAATGTTTTCCAGGTATTTGCTATTTTAATAAATAATGACAAAAATACATTAAATGTACAAGATTAAAATATTTTAAGTCTCTCTTTATAATAAACTAGTCAATTTTTGACATTTTCAAGCATCGGATTGAAATTATAGGAAGAGAAAAGTCGTTTTAGTCGATTAAATCAACTAAAAAGTCGCGTCTTTTATTTTTAAATAAATACAATTAGTTTGTAAATATTTTATTATTATTATCAAACAATTCTAATTAGAAATGAAATAAGTTTTTTTAATTCTTTAATAAAAATGTTTCACAGGGATATTTTCAAGAAATTTTATTTACAATATTTGAGAATTTTCAAAAATTTAATTCAGTATAGGACAAATTTTAAAAAGTAATTTAAAATTATTTTTAAAAAAATCGAAATATAATTTATAGGGGAATAGTGTCAGGGTTGGACACTTGTCAGGGTTGGACACTTGGCTTTTTTTAAATAAGAACACTAGCGCCACCTGTGTGCGTACGTGACGAATCTTCTAGTAGTATAACCTAACTTTTTGTGGCATTACATTTTTGGAGAATCAAAAGTAGCGTCTCCTGTGACTTCGGTGCAATCGAAGAGACAAAAAAAGTTTTGTTTGACTTGTGAATAAACCTAAAAAAATGTGTAAAAAAGCAAGAATTCGGCAAGATAAGCTTATTGAATGTATTGTGGGGTACATAATTTAAGAAGAAAAAATGTGAAAACTCGAATCGCGACACATGTCTAGTTATGGTTAGCACAATTCGAAAATGATGCTTCTAGTTAGGGTTGGACACTTTATACAGTTAGGGTTGGACACCCATATTAATTATATGAATTTGACACAATTTATAAATAAATTTTATTTTATTGATAAATCAGTGCAAAATTGTGCCAAAGATATTAGAAAAATAATACTTAAATTGTATAAATTTTGTTCATCATTTCATTGAGTTATTTGGAACAATAAAGCGTCATTTTTTGTAATTTGAGTTGATTCCTTTTTTAAACCCATGAAGCTTTACAATTTGTAAACAATAAGTAAAGATAAACATGAAAAAATAAGAATAAAAAACATTACAAATGTTATTTTACGTTTTTACCAATAATGCGTTTCGATTTTCAAAAAGTGTCCAACCCTGACTGAAAAGTCCAACCCTGACTAGATTTTTTTTTTTTTTAAATGTTTATAACTTTTTTAATTTTGGACCAATCAATTTACGGTCCACAGCAAAAGTGTTCCTCTTTTGTAGATCTTTCCACACATATACCACAATTGACTGAATTTATCTAAACAAAATATTTATAAACAAAAAACCAAAACTGTCCAACCCTGACACTATTCCCCTACAAATTGTTCGAATTCAGAAGTTTAGAAAATGTTTCAAATAATTCAATTTTCGAAAAACTTCATTAAAATAGTATTCAAAAAAATGAATGTAGGTATATTAAAATTTTTATAAATAATTGAAATTTGAAAAAGTTGCAGTTAAAATTTTTAGAAGTAAATACATTTTTAGAGAGTTCAAGAAAAATTTTCAGAAATAATTGAATTTCAGGAAATTTTAAATTGAAACTCATAAATTTTAATTAATGAATTTTTTTGACATAGGTATTTTAGAGGGACGCATGAATAATCTCTAAAACAAATTTGTTAGAAGTTACATTTGACAGAATTTTAATCAGCAGAATATTAATTTGCCAGAAAATTAATTTAATTGAATTTTAATTTGGCAGAAAATCAATTTGATCGAATTTTAATTTGACATAAATTCAATTTGATCGAATTTTAATTTGCCAGAAATTAAATTTGACCGAATTTAAATTTTTCCCGAAACGTTGTTTTATAGAATACTAATAGTGCAGAAAAATAATTTGACAGAAATCTACTTTACCAGAACACAGAAAAAACTTGGACTCATTTTTGTTGCAACTCATTTTCTTTTGGGTATCGAAATGAGTATGGGACAAACTTCATGTTATTCAAAATGATATTGGCTGGAATTTCAGATTTCTAAGTTGGCATCATAAGCAGAGTAATTTTGTATTTCAATTATTGTTTCTAATATTTCAACAACACCAGAAAGATTATTTTGACCAGTACGAATATTTAGAAGTTTTTAAATAAAAATTATTTATTATTATTTACGTAGATAATAATTAATTTCATAAGTTTTTAAATTTACCGCTATTATTTAAGTTGGCAGTACCGTTCCTGTTGTCAAAACACATGTTTTCATTTTTCTAACCTAAAAACATATTTCCTTTATTATTTTATTACGCGATTACAAGCAATTTTTAATCAAAAATATTAAGTCTAGCGTGTTATTTACTTCTTTGTAATTATTATATTTCATGTTTTTGTGCAAAATTATTCGTTACTTCACAATATTTTTCCATTTTTCTTTTTCTCAAAATGAAACTTGCCTGTTTCATTTTGATACTTTTACCTTAGAACTCGAAATGAGACAACCAGTTTCATTTTTGTTGCGAATCAAATTGAGTATAGAATCTATACTCAATTTGAATTCAGGTTTTTTCTGTGAATGTATATTTGTTCGAATATTAATTTCCCAGAAAGTTAATTTGACCGAAAATTAATTTGGCAGAATTCCAATTTGATCGAATTCTAATTTGCCAGAAAGTCAATTTCATCGAATTTTAATTTTGCAGAAAATCAATTTGATCGAAATTTAATTTAATAGTTTAATTTAATAGAATCCTAATATAGCAGAATCAACATTTAATAGAAATTAACCTTACCAGAAAGTATATTTGTTTGAACATTAATTTGCCAGAAACTCAATTTCACTGAAAATCAATTCGACCGAAATATTTCGGCGCGAATTTTAAAATTGACCAATAGGAAATAATCAAGAAAATTGTGATTGGTTAATTTCAAAATTCGCGCCGAAATATTTCGGTTAAATTGATTTTCGGTGAAATTGAGTTTTTGGCAAATTAATATTCGAACAAATGTACTTTCTTGTAAAGTAAATTTCTATCAAATTTTAATTCTGCTATATTAGGATTCTATTAAATTACCTATCTGCTAAATTAAAATTCTATGAAAAAACGTTTCGCACAAATTAAATTTCGATCAAATTGATTTTCTGCCAAATTAAAATTCGGTGAAATTTAATTTCTGTCAAATTAAAATTCGATCAAATTGATTTTCTGCCGAATTAAAATTCAATCAAATTGAATTTCTGGCAAATTAATATTCTACTGATTAAAATTCTATCAAATGTAACTTCTAACAAATTTGTTTTAGAGCTTATTCATGCGTCCCATTTTAGATAATTGAATTTAAAACTTTAAAAGTACTTTCAATTGAAAAATATTTTAAATAGTGGAGTTTTTAAAGAACTTGATTAAAATTATTAAATATAATTAATTTTGCGAAAAATTCTAGTTAATATTCATTTAAATAATTCAATTTTGGAATATTTGAATTTTATTTTAATAAAGTTATATTGTCTTTAAAAAATGTTTTAGAAAAAGTCAAAAAAAAGTCACATTTTATTAAATTAAGTTGAAAATAGTCTCATACATTGAAAAGAGTTGAAAACGACATACAAACGCGATTAGAAAAAAATTCTTACAAGAAATATGAAAATTTTGGAACCTGATGAAAAATTCAACAACTTTTCCAGGTTTTCCAGGTAAAAAAAAATTAAAAGCACCTTTCCAGGTTTTCAATGAATTCCAGGTCGCTAGACACACTGCATTTATTTATCCCTAATCTTAAATTACTCGTTTTTGACTAATTTCATTAAGAATTTATCACATTTAGAGAAAAAATATATGTTTCTCAAAGCCAAATAAAGATTTATTTTCATCAAACGAAATTACATATTTGCAACATCACTTAATAAAATATTAAACAATTATTAAAACAAAAATATTGAAAAAAACTTTTTAAATCTGATTTAGGTATGGATTTTAAACTATGAAATTTTCACCAAGCATCGTTTATAAAATACTCAATTGAATCGGTATAATTTTGGATATTCAAAATGTTTCAATTGCACCGAGGTCAACTTGTTTGCGGTTTTATATATTGTCAGGAAGAGACTGAAGTAGGATAAATAAAATGGCAATAACTGTTCGAGTAATGAAAATAATGTTTCTGTTTTATATATATATATATGAAAAGCTTTTGGCTGCATCAGAGTTATAATAAAAGAGAAAAACTCTTTTTTTTCTATTTCCTGATCGTCAAATATAGTTTGGGAATAGTTTCCTGTCAGAGCAATAGCCTATAATCCGTATTGTAAAATCAAAAAACGTACACGTTTCTCTCGCTGGACGCAAAACGACTATATACGTCATAGAAAGGAGATTAAATAAAGCCGCATAAAATGTGCAGTGTGTGACATGTGGTATCTGGAGCAACGTTGTGACATATTCTAATAAAACGTCGTTGAATTTTCTTTGCGACAATTAAATAATTTCAAATTTTCTGACATATGGAAAAAAAATTTATATAAATTTAATACTGTTATAATTTGCTCCAAAATAATTAAAATCAATAAAAGAATTATTGCAAGTTAAATGAAAAGACAAAAATGACAATATTTAAAAAAAATGAATCTTAAATAATTTACAAGTTAAATATAAACTGAACGGAAATATTTCTTGTTGATGTATAAATAATTCAAAACGTCTTTGAGGACGTCTTTATATCGACGTGACTAGTGGACTGAATAATGCACCAAAAATTTGACTTTTCCTTGAATACCGTTATATGCAGTTGAGGATTTACAGACACGTATAGACACAGTGCAAGAAGATGAATCTTTAGCCCTGAAGGGTAAAAGTAAACGAATCGAGTATCGAGTATACTTCGACGTTTCTGGAACGGGAAATCAGAGAATTTCCATTCGAATCACGCATCTTTCGATTCGTCTTTGAGGAAAGAGCTTTACGAACCGTGTTTCACCACTTTCGCGTGCCTTTTTTTTCTCTGTTTTTGGATAGGTAGTATTTTCTCTTAGAATATACGTCGCGAGCTAAGTAATTGACTCGTGTCAATGAGATGCAAATGCACGAACACCAAATAATGAAATTCTATGTTTCACAATTTTTGAATATTTATATAGACTGAATTTTTTATTTTTTAATTAAAAACAATATTGAGAAATGATAAAAAAAAAATTATTCTCTAGTTTTCAAAAACTTAATTATTTCAAAAAATTTAAAGTGTAATAAAATTGAATAGATTTAAAATTTAAATGCACGACTATTATACATAGATTGCAATTTACGAACGGTAAATCATTTTTATGACTAGTTTGAAAAGAAGCCTGAAAATGTTGACCTAATTTTTTTTTCTGAATCTAAGGGTTAAATATGTTTAGGCAGATTTATGTTTCACGGAAATAAACTTGACGCACAGTGGTTTAGTCGATATATATATATTCGTGTGGAGCAACATTTCTCCTATCGACGGATGTTCCAGTCATAAAAGCGAATATACGACTGACATGATCTCATCCACACGTGAAAGAACTTATGAGATTTTTAGAATTTTCCGTCAGTGAATAATGTGCAAATAAAAATGTTAAAAAGCAATTCTTAAACATAACAGTGTAAAGCTGCGGATTTCCTGAGTTCGTAAATTCACAATTCCACGATCAATGTAGACATTTAAAGTCGAATTCTATGTTCGATTTAACAGAATCGTATAATATATATATCTGGTATTTATGTTGCGCATATGATTTATTTAGTATAATATAGACTCAAATTCTTAAAATCGATTCATTAGAATCAAAATTTGATTAATTTTTAAAATTGTAACACTTGCATTAAAAAGGAAAGATTATATATAGCTTACATTTTGCATTATACAATTAATGAGTATTTCGCGCCCGTAATTTTGTGTTTCTTGAACTAAAAAATTATATTCGGATGAATGTACGTAGTTCCAGTTTGCCGAATTACTTATGCACTTCAAACACAGATCCAGATTGAACCGCGTGTGTTTGAAAGTGCAGTCAGACACCGAAATACGGAATCAGCAAAGCCCAAGTATTTGCATATTGCTGAAAGTTGCCCTCAACAACGCTTTCAAGATATCTCATTGTTAGACACGAGCCAATATTTTGAGCAAAGTGTCAAAAGTAAGAAAGTTTCTTCTGAATAAACCACGAAAATAGTATAATAATACAGTTGTGTCCCAGATTTATTCTTGAAAAAAATAAATCTTCTTTTTTTTATAAAAAATATTCAAGGGGTGAATATGAAAATTGAGGTTTGCAACATTGAAAAAAAAAACGATTGCAAAATTGAAGTTTATAAAGTTTTTATGATCATTTTTATTAACACTGTTTTCTCATAGAGATTTTTTATTCGATTCGGGTATTATTAATTATTGAATGAATTTAATTCGATTAAATTAATTCAATATATTAATGCAGATGGGAACTTTCTATAATAAAATTATATGTCATAAAAATTTTATTAAATATATATTAGTCAAGAGAAAATCTTTTCTAAACGAAAAGAATAAAAATTCATAAAAACCTACATTAACTACTTTTCAGATTTAAATTTTTTTTACTAATACTTTCATTAAACAAAGAAAAGAATATCCTTTCTTGAAAGCAAGTGACATTTAGGATATTTTTACTCGTATTAAAAAAAAAAAGGAGAAAAAAAGAAAGAGAAATCTTTGTCGATGAGATTGGAGTTTTGTTTTTTTGTAAAATACACAACTAAATGAGGAAGTAAAGAGGAGGATAGCACAATTCTCAGTCCAATCTTATGTTTCGATGGCTATTGTCTGTCGTTTAACAAAAGCCCTTTCCTAGTGGCAAAGAAGAGAAAGAGAGAGAGAGAGATAGAAAATAAGTCATAGGATTCGTTGGGTGAGGTGGAATCGTGCACCTCGGATATACCGCAAGGCTAGGGCTAAAGAGATAATATTGCCTCCTACTTTCGAAATATTGGCGGTCCTCCAAATGGAAATAGATAAAAAGTCAGTGCGGGAATATGGTGCTTGGAAGAATCTCTGTGCTGTACGTTCATTCTCTGGGTACATATGCGCCACAGAAAATAGATGTGTGCGAATGCACCGTATGTGTGTCTATATGTATATAAAAGAATGCATAATGTCATATGGCCGTAAGTTTTCAATCTGAAATTTATTTTTCTCCATACAAACCACAATTTGTATATATGTACTTATCTTGTAAGATTGTAAGTTCAGACAATAATTGTAGTTTGTTTTGTCATTAATTTTTCCATTTAGATTTTTTTTTTATCAGGGTCAATCTCATTTAACTATACAAATACTTTTGAATTACCCACTCGAGCTTTTAAAGCTTGCTAGTCATATTTGTTGGAAAATTGTCAGACATTCCATACTTTTTTTTGGGGGGGATATAAACTTTACTGTTAAACGGATTAATTTTACCGCTTTGTGGTAAAGCTTCTACTGTCGGGTTGTTGTGAGAGGGATTTTTTTGCAACGTATTTTTTTTTATATCCTAGTTAATACTATAAAAAAAAGATATTAAATCTTTTGATAGTTTGTTGCATATTTAGAGAGTTAAAAAATGATATATTTATAAAAAAAATTATAATAATTAATAAACAATAATAAATAATAAAAAAAATATTTATCACTTATTCTATCTTTTTTTTTATCATTCATTATTTTCTAATGGATAATTTTAGAAATTGTTATTACGATTATTATCCCTCTCGCCTTCTCCGCGCTTTTTTAAATTAAATATATTTTTGGAAATTTTTTTTTTAAGTGTAAATAAAAAATTTCTTGTTTTAAGATAGAGAAAATGTTACCTTTTTGTCGAAATCGTCATGCATGTTGCGTTTCACCTTGTCAACTTCTGCACATATGAGAGCATCCAATTTTTCATTATCCAAATTTTCTCCTCCGGCTTTTAGAGCTGCTTTCAATTTAGTTTCCATAACTGTCTAATAAAATCAATATTATTAATATTCGCTGTAATATGTCATCAAAAAAAAGTTAATTAATACTAAAATAATTAAAGTAAAAATGAAAAATTATATAATTTAATTTAATTTAATTAAAAATAAAATATATAATTGAATGCTTACTTCTAATTTACTGAGTTCTTTCTGTAGAAAGTTGACTTTGTTATACATGTGCAAAACAAACAAATCAAATGCCTCTTCATTTACAGAAAGTTTCTTGTCGTGAATATTGATATTTGGAAAAAGAATCTGCAATTCTTCGTTAAAACTTTCTCGTGCTGCCTTCACCTGATTCCAATAACGTTCGGTAATATTGGCAGATAATAATTCGTCTTGAAACTTTTTCTTTGCATCATCGACATCGTCTAAAATCTTTTTGACATTTCTTCTTGCAACTGCTTTCACTGCTGCTGGTGCAACAAATTCAGGATCATCTATTAAACTATACATTTGTTTTAGTGAAGTTAATGCATCCAATGCATGTTTCTCTGCATCACGAAGGGCTTTCTTTCGTTTCTCAGTTGCTTTTTTTAATCTACAAATATGAAAATTTCAATTACAATTTAAACCTTAATATTTGAAAAACAAATAATATATTGAACACCTTTTTGTTAGTAAGAAAATGTGTTTTTTAAACATGAAACTTATTAAAGATTACTTAAAATGAATTATTGTATATTACAAACCTATCCCATGATTCGTTGTTTACTTCAGAAACGTCGATTTTTTCCACGACTTGGACAACATCTTTATTATAATCCTGAATTGCACACGTAGCGGAATGAAAAGCTGCAATTGCTTTTGCGGCTGCATCTCCACAAGATTTTTCTAAATCTACAAGACTCTGGGGCAATAATTCTGTTGAGACATTCTTTTGTGGTGGCTCTGGCTTTTCAGCAACTAATTCAACAGAAAATTATAAAATTACTAATAAATTCGTAATTTCATGAGTATCTTAAAAAAATGTAACTTCTACTCATGATTAAAAATTCTTTTAGTGACATTTATCATTTTTAATTAAAAAAGAAATTAAAACAAAGTAGAGTAAATCGTAAAAAAATTTTATATTCATTCAAAAATAAAAAATATCCATAATTTTCAAATATGTAAAAATTTAAATTGGTGCCGCAAGGAATTAATTTATATTTTGGAATTATAATAATATTAATGAATTTCTTTGTGTCATATTGAAGAAATAAATGATAAACACAAAATTCAAACAAGTATTAATTATTATATACAAACCAACTTCAATTTCCGCTCCTTTCTCCTTGCTTAATCTAATTTCACTGTAATTTTCGTTAACAGGTTCTGGTTTCTTTTCAACAAGTGGTATAAAAGCGGGTTTCGGCGCTACACAAATCAAAATTAATATTTAGTCATGTTAGTAGTGTTAATTTTCAATTGAAGTAGAGAAATTTCAAATTCTATATATTAACACAATTTAAAGAAATAATATTAAACATTTATAAAAAAAATATTTTAACACTCAAATTCAATGATATGTGAAGTATTTTGAATTTGAAGACAAGAATAAGATAAAATGGATGTTAAGGAAAAAATTGGTAGGAGGGAAAAAGGTTCTCACGCATATAATCTTCAACTAATGTGCAATCAAATTTTGTTTTCATCTGACCTTCTTTTGCCTTTTCCATAGGATCTCCAAAAATAATATTGTGTAATCTGTAAAAAAAAAAAAGACTGTTTATAATTTTTTTTCAAGCAAAAAATGTTTCTTTTTTTACAAAGTGTGACAAAAAAAAAAATCTTACGATTGCCTCAGTTGTTCGAAAAAGTCTCGAATGAAATCGAAATAGCTATTGTCTTCTTGAAAAATAATTTTAATTGTATTATCGGCGCCAGGAATCCATTCTTCGAGCGTTGCTCTCACTCCAGGATTATTTTTTGCATACGCTAATATTCCTATAGTTCCCAAAGTTACTGCACCTAAAGTAATTAGTCCTTTTCCCGATCCTCGACCTTTCTCACTGAAAGACATTTCAATAATTAATTTATAATTTCATAAAAAGAGTTTGAATTTATATTTAACACCTTCGCATCGCGAAGAAAAAATCAATTATTAATAAAGCAGTTAATAATTGATTAAAACTTAAGGGTGGCCACTATTTTTAGAAGTTTTGCCTCCCGGTAGAAATTAGAGATTCCTCCCGGTTTTAAAATACATTTTTTCTGTACACAAATCTATTATATTTATGTAATATGCAATTGTAAAAAATAATGAACACCAATAGCACTCTATGAAAATTTATAAAATTTAAGTTTTATGAAGTACATTGAAATAAAATATAACAAATTTTATTAAGTATAGTAGACATTTTAGTAAACATTTTTCAATTTAGGGAAAACGTGTAAAAATGGGAAATATTGATACAAAAAATAATATACTTCTGAAAATATTTTTCAGTCTTTAAGAAATGTATTTCAAATTTTAATAAATATTTACAAACTTCAACATAATTTATAGTAATCATACAAAATCTTTACTGAGATTTAATATATTTTATATCATTTTTTTCCAGTTTGACACATTTTCCCTAAATTGAAAAGTATTTACGAAATTTTGTTATATATTTTCTTTCAGTGTAGAATTAAAAAATTTTGTATTGTGAGAAATAAAAATAGCTAATTTTTGTTGATGGTATATGATCAATTCCACGTGAGATTGAGGGGTCTATCCTCCGATTCCTCCTATACTACGTTTTTGGGTAGAAGTTATGGGTCTAATTGAGTAAATAAAATTTTGAAAAAAATATTTATTATTTTTCGAGATATTTGCATTAAAAAATTAGTGCAACTTTTTTTCAATTACTCATAACTTTTTAACTTATAGTCCTAGAAAAAAGTTTCCTCAACATTTTTTGCTCAGAAAATATTGAAGTTTAAGAAAAAAAATTAATTTTGAAAATTTTTTAAATTTATTTATTTATTTAAAAAATAAAATTTGTTTTTAATTTTTAAACTTATTATCGGGCTCCGTTTACTTAGCGGGGGTTTCCTACTTTCTCGGCACGGTATTTTTTAGTCCTTCTCTAAATAACAGTTTATAATTAATTTTCGATTTTTAGTAATACTTAATATTCTTTTTTTGACACAGAATTAGATTAGACGTAGTATAGAAGGAATCTGAGGATAGACCCTTCAATGTCACGTGGAATTGCTCATATATTTTACATAATTAACACGAAATTTTAGATGGTTAAAAGTTGAACAACAATTTTAGAATAATTGCGCGAATCATAAAACCCATAAAATCTCCCGGATTAATTTTTCAGTCCCGGCTTTCTCCCGTTTTTCTCCCGATTCAAATTTCTCCCGGTTGGCTGGCCACCCTGTACTAAATCACTAAACCTGAGTATAAAAAATATTTTCGATAATTTTGTAAAATAAATATCGATTCATTTCAAATATATGCTAAAGCCATGCATTTTCAATTTAAAATCATGCATTAAAATTCATTTATTTTACTTTTTACCTTTTAAACGAGTCGGTCGAATACCTATGTCCAGAAAACCTGGACATAAGTTTATCATCCTTGCAAGGCCTAAAACATTTTATCCACAATTTTTTTTATAAAATAACTAATTTTACTATTATGTTGCAAAATATAAAAATGAAAGGTTAAGAATGATCTATTGAACTAAATATATAGTGAAACTTTTAAAAAATGTAAACAAAACTAATTAAGAATAACGTGATTAAAGAACTAAAATTAATTTTTAACAAATTAATGTTGTTAAGCAAAATAATTTATATGTATTTTTATCGCCTTTGTGACAACCTATAAAATTGCAATATATTATACTACTTTGCCAACAATGTTGTTAAATTATATATAGAAACAAATATTGACCTTTACTAGGAGAAAAATAATTTTAAAGTGAAAAATGAATATCTGAATGTTCCGAAAATGTAGGTTTAAAAATTCCGTTAATAATTAATAAAAAAAATAAAAATATTTTGCAAAGAATGATAAGCAGTAAGAATATTTTGAAAATTTTTCTGACAGTTGTCAGATGTAGTCAAAGGTCGAGTGACTTACCTAGTTACTGGGTCACATTTTATACGCGCTCGGGTTTCATAGCACCTGGCCGTGAGATATACTCTAGAGTATCCGTGTTTTTTTACCTGGAAGACAGAACGACACTGTTTAAACATGCTCTGGAATTATGTAAGACACTTTATTTTAAGCCATTTTGTCACACACACACACGAGGTGAAACCTTGGTTAATGGCAACAAAATTATTCACTGACAATTCACTAATTATAAATGATAAACAAATTATTTAAATTCTCCAAATAAACTTTATTATTGTCAATAAAAAGAAATTGTGATTTTATGTCAAAATATAGCTTGATTTTGTGATAATAGAGTAGACGTCAGAATATAATGGAAAGCAAACACAACGTGAAATATAGGTTGGAATCGTATAATCCTTATGATGTTTATTTTTTGACATCGAATCGTCACTAATGTGAAATATATTTTAAAAAACGATTATTAAAATAGTCTTACTTTATTAATATGATTGATACCGTTGCACGGAAATTTTAATCCGATTCGGAACATTTTTCGGGGTGGCCGGTGATCACAGCCAAGGAGAAAAAGGGAACGACGACACGAAACAGCTGTTGCCTTTCTGAATAGAAGAATGCTGCGTATTGTCAGTTCCGCAATTCGAGGTAAAAATCGTACTAATTCATTGAGTATAATTTTAAGACAGTTATTTCAAAATGTAGTGTTAATTAAGTGCATCATTTTCATATAATATTTATAAAAATTAGTGACTTTCTTCTCACTTGTTTTTTCAAAAAAATTTACACTTGTAGGTTATGTTCACAACTGAGTGAGAGCCATTTTATTTTTTTGACAAAAGGAACGAAACAATTTTGACATCCCGCTCTCATTTGAATTTGTTAATTGTCTTTTGTTTTTTTTATTGTTTTTGAAAAAAGTAAAGTGTAAAAATTTAAGAATGTAATTTAAGTACTGAAAGTAAAATGACAAAATTAGTATAATAATTATATTTTACGTTATGTGTTATAAGCTGTACATAATCTTACCTAACCTTAACAATTAATTAAATATTGTGTATTACTGAAATATTAATATTATTTTGCAAAATTATTATTTATAATTATCTGATTTATTTGTCGATCCTTAATTTTATAATTTATATGATAAATTTAATATATATTGTTTTCACTTGAAAATTACGTAACTATGTATAGTGTTAATGACTAATTTTATGAGCCAAAAAATTTATTTATCGAAATTGATTGTGTATTAATTTTTTTTAAAGAATTTTAATTCAGAATCACATTTATTTCAGCTGGCGTGGAACGCGTTATAGCTCCAAGTATTATAAATCTTACGAATGTCTCGCCATCAACCTCAATTGTTAATTCAATTTGCGTTCGAGCTTTAAGTTTAAATACCTCACACGCTCTTGATGATGGAAATATTTGCAAAAATAGAACGTTGTTAAGGTAATGAAAAATTTTAAAATTTAATATCAATTCTTTATTATGAATAGTTTGTAAATATTGCAAATTGTTTATTTCTATTTTAACTTTTTTTTTTTTTAGTGCACCATTGACACGAAATATTTTACCAGTTATTCAGCAACCAATTTTAATTCAAAATAGAGGTGTCATTAGATATTCTTTGAAAAAAGGAAAAAGAAAAACTGTCAGCGCTGTTGTAGATCGATTTTATAGACTTCGTTGGTAATTTAATATATTTGCAAAAGATTTTTGTCATTCATTTAATTTTTCAATTCTTTTCTTAAAATCTTTAATTTAATTTTAATTAATAAATTAATGTTTTGTTTTTAATTTTAGGGGTATTTGGATTCGAACAAAATGTGGAAGAACAAGTAATTTATGGCGTAAGTCATTAAATCGTAAGAAGCGACTTTATCGTCATGTATTTTGTAATGCAACACAATCTTGGTTATTGGATAAAATGGTAACAAAATTTTGGACACGTCCAAAATATTACGTGGATGATCCATATGAACCTTATCATCAACGAGAAAATTTTCCTCATACGAGAAGGAAGCCAGCACCTTAAGTATATATGATATAATTAATATTAATAAAATTTACAAATAATTTTGGAAATTGTGTAAAATTTTTTAGAACAGGAAAACGAAAGTCGTGGTAGCTTTTTTTTTATTTACAATAAATAATAATATTCATTGTTAATTAATTTTCTCTTTATTATTAGTTTTGTAAACAAATAATTTTTATTTTATTAGAAAATAGAAGATTCTTTTAGGAAAATTTTATTTCGAAACTACACGGAGAAAATCTAAAAGCAATGAGTATTTTTTCTCATAGCACTGGCTACTGTGTAAACCAAAAAAATTAAATTTCAAAACTCTGAATGTTCTTCACACAGCACTGAATGCTCTGCAGAAAATGATCACAACTTTTTTTTGACAGTAAACAGAGTTTCGTTTCATATTAGTTGACAACAGTTTATTCAGAACTACAAATGTAGCAATAAATTCTTTGCTCGAAGTCGTTACTGCTGTTCTCACAACTCTGAGTACTGTGTAGAATTATTTTTTAGAATTTTGAAAACAAAGGAACGTTTAACGTCAATTAAAATGAAGATAGCCATGGTTATTTTTTCTTTTCAAATATTGATTTTAATTGACATGTTTATAAACAGTTAATGAATAACAGAAATAAAGAAATGAAGACTTCAAAAAGTCTTTTTAAAAACTATCGCTTTTTTTTTTATTTTTCAGTTATATAGCAAATAAAGTTATTATACAATAATGAAATAATAAATAATTATTTTTAAAATGAATTATTATAGATAAATTTTAAATATTTATTTGTATTTCACAAGTTTTTAGATTTTAAGATTTCTTAGCTAATATGAAATTACAACCTAATCTAAATTTATAGATAATTATGATTAAAAAATATTAAGTTTCAACATTATTATTTTAAATATTTATCTCGTGAAGTAAAAAAAATTATTATTTCTTACGTTTATTAATAAAAAGTAATTTGTTTAATATTATCAAAGTTTATTACTTCTTATTTAATTAAATATAAATAATTTTAGTCAAATAATCTGTTTTTCATAAAAATATAAGAAAACGTATCTAAAATTGATTAAAATTGTCTTGAACGCTTGTTTAAAATTGTTATTTATTTTTTATTAAAGGTTAATGTAAGCAGTCACGACTTTGAACGAAAAATTTATTGCTATATTCCTAGCTTTGAAAACACTGTTGTCCATGAATATAAACCGAAATTCTAATAACTGTCAAAAAAAATAGTGATTATTTTCTACAGAGCATTGAGTGCTGTGCAGAAAACATTCAGAGTTTTGGAATTTAATTTTTTGGTTTCCACAGTAGCCAGTGATGTGAGAAAAAATACTCAGTGCTTTCAGATTTTCTCCGTGTATATAAATGTGAATCGAGAGAAAAATACATTTATAAACAATATAGGTGTGAATTGGTGCAAAGTGTCAATGAAATGTCACTGTTATAACCTTGTAAGACTTATTTTTAATTTTTTTTTGTTTTGCCTCATTTTTTAAACTTAAACTAACAAGAAATGTGTCCAGAAAAAGTGAGACATTTTTAATGAAAAAAAAATCGATTTCTATTTATTTAAAACAAATGTAAAATTAAGAAATGAAGACTATCAAGAGCCTAATTATTCAGTAAGTACTAATTTTTAGTTTTATAAATTTAATACAAAAATTCCGTAAATATGTTTAAAGATTGTTCGCTAGTAAGAAATCTTTTGTAAATTAAATATAGTAATTATTTTACTTCAATTAAAATGATTATTTATCACCAAAAATATAAATTGTCAAGTGGTGATCAATTGTTGTATATTATTTTATTTGTGTAAAAAAAGTAGATCAAGACCATCTTTCGCTTTGGTCAAAAATCCAGTCAATCCAGTTTTGAAATTAGTAACCTATATAATCAAGAATCTCCCCACGTTTTTTTATATAATGAGTTGAAAAATAATCGACAGCAGTTAAATTAAAATTTGTAATTGTGTATCTGAAATTACCAGAGAAAAAAAAAGAGACGATCCACTTTGGTTGTAAATGAAAAATAATCGGGCTACGGTGGGCCAAACAACGTGGGCTTCCCCTACCAACAATTTTTTTTTTTTTTTTTTTTTTTGAAAGGCACTAGTGGCATGATTCTCTCAGTTGCTTCTCGTCCTTTGCGGCGAGTGTTTCTAATTTAACTTGTTGATTTTTCAGCTGAAGTATATAATTTATTTTGCCACTGGTAAAAGTTGTAAAATACGTACTTATCAATCAGAATGCCGTTACGAGCTAAACTTCGTCTTTTGAGTCGTATGTCATGTTTCATTGTTGGAAGAACTATAGATAAAACGGGGAGAACTCGATTTGCTGCTCACATTACTGGAAGAAATTTCTCTGTTAGTAGCACGCTCGATATGAGGTAAGTATACGACACACAAAGCACCGGCTAAACATTTAATTTTTCCTTTACCTCATGAGCATGCTATATTATCATTTGTCTTATCTTGTGAAATTATTCCTTCTCTAATTTAAATTCATTCAAAATTATATTCACAAAATACTCCAATTTTATTTTACTGAGACAATCTTTTCTTTTATTATGCTAAATAATTTTTCATTGTAATACAAAAATTCTAATTTTTGTGCTTTAGAAATTGTTCTTTTTGCTCCAAAATCCCATATGAATAGAAAATATAAAATTATTTTTTTAATTCTAAAATAAGAAAAATTTAATTTTTTTTTTTTAATAAATATTTTATTTGCATTATAATATAAAAAATGTTATTTCCCCGAAAATACATGAATTAATTTATAATCTCCAAGTGTTCAACTTTCGTCAATAAATAATCCTATTTTTGTCTCGCGGAGCGATAGGAAACTTTCTTTAACTGTGAAATGATATAGGCGATATTTCGATATTTTTTTTTCTCCCATGCTAAATTAGCATTTTTCAAAGAGAATTTTTTTTTTTATGAAATTTATATTGTCAATTACTTGATGACGTATATGATATTTGTCGAGTAATTGAATTATTTTTATTATTTCATTCAAGGCTTTTGGAGCAATTTTACAGGAAATACAGAGAGAGGTCTGTGAATGTGTTATATAAGAAATCAAAGGCGTAGTTGATTTTTTTCGTGAGAAATATTATTAAGACTTCCCTTCACATTTTATGGGGTTCACGTGAGATTTTTTTTTTGAGAAGAATTCATTGAATATTCAATTTTATTTAATTAACGCGATATTAAAGTTAAATTTTCGCAAACAAGTTTAAAGTCGATTTTTTATTCATTAATATTTTTTTTGTAAGTAAATAACGTTGATAATTATAAGTTTTATAATAAATTATCTATTTATAATTTAGTTATCATTAGTAAATTGTTTTAATACAAATAAACAACGTTTATTGGAATAATTTTCATTTTATAAAAATAATAAGAAATTCGTAAAAATTGTAAATCTAGCAATATTTTTAAAAATTTTAAATAAACGCAAAATGATAATACATTTTTTTAAATGGCAATCGTTTAAAAATAATTTTTATAAAAAAAATTACAATTTTTATATAATACTCAACATATGTTACTTATTTTGTTTAAAATAGGTCGACAAGTTTTTCTTTGTTAAAATTTCAAGTTCACATATAATTATGAGACTTTTTTTTACGTTAAACCACACCTCGAATTTCTCAAGATGTGAAACTCCAGACACAACCAATTTCCATGTCCCGTCAACCGGTTTTATTCTTTTATCCATTAATCGATATTCTGAATTATATCAAACTTTAAAAACAAGTAGTGTAAATCAATTTAAGTCAGATTATAATTACAGACTTTTATTATTTGCATTGTTTAATACTGAATTCGAAAAAATTAATTATTTTACTTTTTGTCAGGTTCGTCCAGTTTGTTAGTAAAAATGGAGGACCCCAACATTTGGGGGTGCAACTCAAACAAGGTGGAGATATAATTGCAATTTCTGCTATTGACTCGAGGATACCAAATACATTGAAAAAATTCTTAGAAGGCGGTGATGACCTTCTTAAAAAGGCAAAAAGGTAATCATTTCTTTTTTTACATTGCAATGAAAAACAGGAAAAAAAATAAATTCTATTATTAACTTTACATAAAGATATTTTATATTTTACACGAAAATATGACAATATATTTTAGCTGTAATTTATTTTTTAATTTGTAATGTGACTGCAATTATTTTTTTAATTTTTAATGTAGATAGAATGTATTTTTTAATTACAATTTATTTTTTATTATAATTAAATTATAATAATAAGAAAATAAATTGTATTATATCAAATTTTAGAATTTTAATTTAAAAACTATAACTTACTGATTAACTGTAGATTAATGTTGTACAATTAAATATTTCTTTTTCTTTTCCTTTTTTTTTTTAATGTGGCGTAATTCATTGACGAAATTTTTTTTTAATATCAGTATATTTAAAGTTATTTACATATTATCTACAAATGCTTTGACGTTACTTGGATAACAAAAATAATTATGGTCCAATGAGGATATAAATTATGTATCAACTGAACAAATTCAAATAGTTCCGAAAAAAAATTTCTTATAAAGAAGAGAGAAATTTTTTCTTAGAACCAAATATAATGTATTTGTATTTAAATAAAAGAATATTTTTCTCAGGGCTGAAAAATTTATTTATTTGTTTCAAATCAAAATTTTGTTTGATACAAATAATAATTTTTCTCGTAGCAAATAAATTTTTTGTTTGTAACAAATAAATACTTATTTAGCTTTGGAATAAATATATTTTCTATCTGGGGAAAATGCCAAATTTTCATGTAATAAATTATAAAATTAACATTAATTTTTTTTTGAGAAACTTACTAATTACCTAATTGCTTAATTGAATTAATATTTAATAATTTATTGGAATTAAGTGTCTTTGAGCAAATTAAATTTGTAATTATTTGCTGAAGCCCTGAAGTTTTGTACTTTTTAGTACAAAAAATTAACTTTTGAAACTTGTTTCTAGATATTGTAAATTAATTGAGCAACATTTATTGTATAATTATTATTTTTTTTATGTATTGAGGTATTAATTTAAAATTAAGAGATATTATAAATAAATTAAGAATATAAATAATAGAAAACCTAGAAAATTATTCCTGTGACCTTTATAAGTAAGAGAAAGTTTCTAAAAATAATTTCACACGTTACACATATATAAAAGTTATTTTGATATAAAAGGATATCAAGATTTCTTTTTATCTGATAGACAGAAAAACAAATCATACAATGAAAAGTTTAAATATCTACAAAACAACAAACGCGGAAAATACTTGTTTATTTTTTAATAACGAAAAATATTTATATATATATATGAAATTGATTTCGTATTTGTACTAAAAATTGATTATCAAGAATACGCATTGAGAAATTTATTATTGTGTTATTTAGGAAAGGCGATAATAATCTATTAGCAGCTGTAAAGAGGTTTGTTGTTATTCGTGTATTCAAACGTGTGACAGTGACCCTTTTATAGTACCTAAAAATTTTTTACATAATAATAATAGTAACATCTTTTAATTATTAATTTTCGACATTTTTTTGTCTCTCTTGTTAGGATCGTTTTATAACCGATATTTTCCCTTTAAATATTTCCTATAGTTTTTAGCATGGAAACATTCTATATATGTTTGTGTAAGAGATATGATATCATTGTTAAAATTTGTTGTCAGAGTAAAATAGTCGAATACATAGGGGAATAACTGAACGATATTTCGTTGATAAAAATAACTTTAACATATAACAATAATATTTTTATATTGAATGATATTATAATATAAAATAAATTATTTGATTCAAATACTCCTTTACTTGACTATTAACAAATAAATATTTACTTGAACCAAATAACTTTTATTTAAATTAAATAAACTGTATTTGAAACAAATACCATTTAATTAACTCAATAATTATTCAATATAAATAAACATTTATTTGATAATAGTCTAGTAATCGATTAGTTGAATCAAATAAATTTTTTTTCATTGTACTAAATGAGTAATAAAGAGTAAAGAACTTGATGATAATTATAAATACTGTTATTAAATTATAATATGATAATTAATATTGTTATCTGATTATGATATCCGGTTATAAATGTATTTTTTTAAGAGCATCGTGATTAGATCATTTTTTTTTTTGCAACAAGATAAGGTAATGTTTGTTTTTTCAGATTATTATCACAAATATTTATCTCATTTTTTTTTGCATATTTCGTAATATTGAATTTAAGAAAAAATAATTTAAATTATAATATTGTGAATATTATTTATAAGTTTACAAATTCAATTTAAAATATGTAATTTTGTTTTTAAGAAAAGTCCATTATGGTGTGTTTCTTCGGTAGAACTATCTATAAAGCTTTCTATTTTATCGAATTTAATGTTTTCTGTACTTTTTCCATTTGAGCGAAACCAAATTTACCATCAGAAAGCTTTCATAATGTTTATTATATAGCGATAGCGACTTTATTGGTCAATTAATCTGCTTTCGTCAAATATTTTATAATTTCGTAATGTATTATGCGATTTTGTAAATGCAATTGGCAAACAAGACTAATTGCCAAATAGATAGAGGAAAATAATGGATAATTGCAACAAAAAAAAAAATAATTATGAAAACCTAATTAAATAGAATAATTTAGAGATGTAAATAATACGTCTTATCGTAAAATTGCCCTCAAACTCTATAACAAAAGAAATGTGTGATTAATTTGTTTCTTATTGTGTTCCCTTTTGTGTTTTGCTTGTGCAAAACAATATTTTATTCTAATAACATTGGTTATTATCTTTATTAATCTTATTGTTATTATTATAATTTTTGCATGCCGTGAATTTTGCAGAATTATTTACATCAACCATAGCGATTTTGTAGAAAAACATTTTTTTTAAATGAAAAATTAATATATTTTTTTAAATATTTTTCAAAGAATTTTTTACATTTTAATGTCAATTTTATAAACTTAAAAACATGATTTTTTTTAGAAATTAGATTTTTAATGTTTGTTTGGTTTGTTTATTTGTTCAAAAATTTTTGAGGAATTTTTATTTTTCATTTGTTATTAATGTTTAATTATTATTTTTTTTTTAGAATAGTGGCAGAGGGACGAAGTGTTATACCAGAGGCTGAAGTAAATTTTCTAGCACCAATCACACATATGGATAAATTGGCATGCATTGGCTTAAATTACATTGGTCACTGTAAAGAACAAAATGTTGAACCACCTCCAAGTCCTGTGGTTTTCAGTAAATTTGCTAGTAATATTATTGGACCAACAGACAATATTGAATTACCTGCAATTTCAGATGTGAGTTTTTTTCCACTATATTTTTTATATTCTAGAATTTCACAAATATATTAGAAAATTATAATTTTTCTCAAGTTTAGAATATATTTTATATGGAAGAAAAATATCCAGTTATATGTAATTATAATTTTAAAAAGAGAAAAAAATTATTTTCCATTTCAGAAAGTTGATTGGGAAGCTGAACTTGCAATAGTTATAGGAAGAAAATGCAAGAATATAAATAATCAGGATGCGGATGACTATATTTTTGGTTACACGGTAGCACAGGATTTGTCTGCTCGAGATTGGCAAAAGGGTAAACGAAATGGCGGTCAATTTCTTCTTGGAAAGGCGATGGACAATTTTTGTCCCCTAGGACCAGCAGTTGTCACAAAAGAAGCAATTTGTGATATTAATAATCTCACTGTCAAAACTTGGGTAAATGGACAGGTCAAACAGAATGGTAACACCGGTGAATTAATCTTCAAACCTCACGATATTGTCATGTATCTCTCACAGTGAGTCATTTTTTATAGTTAAAATTCATTTTAATTTTTATTTCCGTTTTTTTTATTGTTCACTTCTTGTTTTAGTAAAAAAAAATCATTTTTTTTAATTATTAATTTTTTAGTGTTCATTTCCTGTTTTAGTGGAAAAATAATGTTTTTTTTCAGAATAATAATACTATGTGGTTATTAAATAGACATTAATCATATCTATAAACAGGAAAAATTCTTTGTATAAAAAGATATTTGGTTTGAGAATATAATTTAACTTTAAAGGGATAAAAAATAAATAAAAATTCAACATTTTTTCACAAAACGCAATCAACGTTATTTTCTACTTGAAAACAATTTTTTATTTTATAAAAACTGTTTTGATAATAGTTTTATAAAAAATAAAATTTGTTCTAATAATGAATACTAAAAATGTATTAATATTTCAAAAATTATTCATTAAAATAAAATTAATTATTGTAATTATTTAATGAATTTACAATTTAGGTTCATGACATTGTTACCCGGTGATGTTATTTTAACGGGCACACCAGCTGGTGTTGGATTTTCTCGAAAGCCACCAGAGTTTTTGAAGGTTATTAATTATTCGAAATTAATTTTGAAAATAGAACAATTCATTATTAATAATTAATTTTTATATATTACAGAAAGGAGATCTTTTGGAAACAGAAATAGAGAGTCTTGGTAGATTGAAAAATAAATGCGTTTGATGGAAGATAATTGGAATTTTAATAAAAAAAACAAAACCTTATCAAAAAGGTGTTGCAATTCAATAATGCATAAAAAAAAATTTATTTAAGCGCCAGATACAAATCAAGAGAAAAGACATTGACTGCAACCAAAGCCATGTTTTGATTTTTATAATAAAGAAAAAAAGAAATTTGTACTCAAACTTATTCCCTGGAGGAGAGAAAAAGAATGAAATTTCTTTTAAGAGAAATTTTACTTTGTTATATACATAGTATATATATATATATAGTATCAGATATCTATACAAATAAAGATTTATATAATCGGTATATTAATGCCAAAGCAAAAAGTCTAAATATCGAAACCTAAAACTGTCATTTTTTTTAAATGAACGGCATTTCATGTACCATAAAAATAAAAATGATACATTAGTACAATTTAAATAGTTTTCATTGATTTCGATTCTTATCATTACCCTTATTCATATACTTTCAATTAACTGGAATTAAAAATTGATAATAAAAATTTTTTAAATTATACTGCATTAATGATTAATTAATTTAAAGTTGAAATTCGTATAAAATGTTTCTAAAATTTCAATATTTTCCATAATATCTAATTTAAAATACAAAAATATTATTTTTAACTCAGATATTTTTAAAGATAAAAATTTCCGTGTTTTTAAGTTGAATAATTTTTGAAGATATTGACTATTTCAAAATTAGTGAATTTGTACGCCATCTAGGAAAATAAAAACGAAGAATTAAGAAGATAAAGTAGAAATTTTGCATTTGAAAGGTAGTCGATAATGTAGAAATTTCATTGAATATTTAACAAAAAATTGAAATTAAACAATTATTTAAAAAAATCTATTTTATTGTTATTTTATATCATTTATAAACTAATTATTACTAAAACTAAAAAAAAGAAAGAAAAACTGGCTTAAAAAAGGAAAAATCAACGTGCGGCATCTGTCGAAGAAACTTGTAATTTGAAAGAACCAGCTAGTAGGTGCTGCCCCCTTCTGTGAAACTCATCACTAAAGTATTATTATGATTTAAATATAAAAACGTGGTATATCATTTAAAAACAGGATCAAGTTTTTAAGAATAAACGCATGTAAATAATTACTTTATTTGCATTGACGTTCGTTAAACTTGAAATACGAGCCTTTAAATAACTCTGGCATCATTTATAAAATTAACTCAACCAAATGACATTTGAGGACGCTGAAGAAGGAGTAAAGGATTTTTAATGTCATTATATTCTGAGGACCGTCTTACAGAGAGATTGTTACCGCTGATAAAGTCGATATGACATTTGTGGCTCGCGCGAGATCCGTTTCATGAAACTTAAGAGTCCTGTTAATGCTAGTTTATGATCAGTAAATTTAGTCAGCATATAATATTAAACATGGTCTCTGGCATTCAACTTATGCAACATAATTTTGTCAGAGAATACAAATGAGAGTTTAATGTCTTAAATCATTTTATTTATATCATTCCCACTATTTCCATGTCGCGCACTTGTGGACACAATTTGTTTAAACTTATAAATTTCTATTGAAATTATATTGCCCTAAAATTTATAGCGAGAATGTTTAATAGAGTCACAAAATTTCTAAATATACAAAATAATAAATATTCTAAATAATAATATAAATTTAAGTAAAAAAATATTTATGATTTTTATGTTTGTAAAAGGACATATGAAATTGAAAGAATAAAAATGTAATAATTTATTAATTACTAAGAAGTAGCGAAATATTAAGAGATAAATTTAGAAATTTAATTAAATTAAATTCAAATTTAGTATATGAAAAAAATTTCAGAAATTGAAAATTAAATTTGAAAATAAATTAAAAAATGACAATGTAAATTTAAAGTATAACATATATATTATATATATATTAGAAGCTGACAATGTGAGTTAACTTTTATTTGTTTTTAGGACTGAACAACAAAATCGTGATTGATGAAGAACAACTTAAGAATGCCTTAATCGCTGATCAGAACCAACTATGCCTCATTATAAAAAGAGTCAAGCACCGCTCGCTGGACCAAGATTTATCTCACATCTCAGGGGTTAACCTTGTTAGCAAGCTGAACTATATGGACTATTACATTTATCTGTTCCAGTCCTTGGAAAATCGAGATCTATTGAGAACCCTGGGACTTTGAAATATATATATTTTTCCCTGGACCATTTCTTCATTTCTTTTAACTTTATATTTATTTCACGAGAACAATTATTCTCTTTCCGGGGTTTCCCTATTTTCTTGGAATTTTAAAATCGTTTTCAGTCAACAAACTGTCATTATTTAAAAAAAAACATTCAAACATTGAAAACATGATTATTATATAAGTTTCTAACAAAATAAATTTCTTGTTTTGGATTAAATTTCAAACAGTTTTAATAAGTATTATTTCATTTGTTGCTGAGCCAATAAGTTTCCAGACGAATCTAAATTTTAATATAACTTCCCTAATAACACAAGATATCTTTCGTTGGGATATATTGATAATATCCCGCAGATATCCTGGGGATGTCCTATGGATATCAAAAGGATCTCTTAAGGATATCCAAAAAATCGGCGGTTTGGATATCCTTTGGATATCCCATGGATATCTAAGGATATCCACAGGATATCTTCTGGATATCTCTATAGACTTTCATAAATGTCCTCCAGATATCCCATAGATATATCGTCAGGATATCCCACAGATATTTTCAGGATATTCTCAGTATATCTTCTGGATGTCAAGAAGATATTCTCAGAGGATACTGTTTTTAAAGTCATTATGAGACTACGAGTGAGAATATTCTGTGAATTAAATTTTATATAAATAAAATAAAATGCAACTTGTTTTTCGAGAAAGTTGTTTAATTTGAAAAATTATTAACTAATTTTTTTCTCATTCGTGATTCATTCCTTTATTCATATGCTTAATATTGTCAGAAAATAAATTGTCTTATTAAACAATATAAATTCTTCCCCGCAAATAACGAATAACTATTAATATTAATTATATATTAAGTGCATGAGTTTATTTAAAAACTTTGAAAAATGCGTTTCAAATCTTCATTTAAAATAAATTAGAAGCTCATAAGATTTTTGTTTTTATTATATTATTATTCATTATATTAGCTTAACAATTTTAACCTTTAAAAATATATGTTGAGATATTAAATATCCCGTGAATATCCTAAGAATATCCCACGGACATCCTGAGGATATCCCATGGATATCCTGCGATATAATATCCAATAGATATTTTGTGGATGTCTTAGGGATATCCTGTGGATATCCTATGGATGTCCTGTTGATGTCCCACAGACCGGCGGTTTGGATATCCTAGGGATATCTTATGGATATCCTAGGGATATCTTATGGATATCCCAAGATATCTTGGGGACTATTCTAGGATATCGACCATTGATATGGATATCCTATGGATATCCTAGGGATACCCTTTTGTTATGAGGGTTATTACATAAATTTTCATTCTTTTCAATTCTGCTTTTTCTTTCCGAATCTATATTGGCTTGCAAACGAATTGATTCAAAATAAGATTTCAGGATTCAAAGGAATTGAAATTAAGCTTCAGAATGAAACGGATTGATTCGAAATTGAGTTCAAGTTTGCAATATTTTTTAAACCAAATGGTGCCATATAACTACAATGTTATAAATGGTGTTACTAAAATGTATTGGTGTAATTTTAATAAAAGCAGCCGATTCTGACAACCCACAACGATTCACACATTTCCCTCACAACACAAGGATATTCAGGATATCCCTGGGACGTCCTGGGGATATCCATTTGCTTTTGGCGATTCGGATATCCCTAAGATATCCTCTGGATATCCATGGACATCTCTAAGATATCCCAGGGATATCCAAACCGCCGAAAACAAATCGATATCCCCAGGACGTCCCAAGGATATCCTGAATATCCTTTTGTTGTGAGGGTTAGTTCACGTTGAACCCTAATTCGAATGTTTTCTTGATTTTACAAACGAAGTAAGTATAATGGAAATCTTATAATTTAACGTAAAAACTAATTTAACCTTGTGAAAGTGCATCAGGCCCTTTACAAACAAATTAAGCTATTATAGGTTAGAAAATGTTCAATTGTAACTACACAAAATTCATTTAATTACAGCTCATATAAAAGTTATTCAAAAAATATCTTTTCTCTTTGAGTAAAAATTCGTTGAACATTATGGGGTCCCCGTTTTGCCCCATGTAGCCCTGCATAAAAACTAATTGAATATCAATCCAAAATTTTTGTCAGAAAATCGAAATTTATAATTTAAAAATGCAAGAAAAATTATTTCTTGGTAAATTAACATATATATAGTGAAAATTGTTCTTTCCTGCATTAAAATAATAAACATCAAGATGACAATATGTTAAAACACAGGTCGTGCGAGAAGATAAAACACAAAATTATTACTGTTCTCTGGTTTAAGACAATTAAGGTAAAAATAAACCGGTTATCAACACATGTTATATATACTAAAGCTTCTCGTTTATAGATGTACTCTCATATATAAGTTGACTCTTTTTAAAGCCACCCCCTAAACAGTTGGAAAAGTACTGACGACTTTTGTATATAAATATATACATATATAATAATATTCTTTAGCCGTGAAACCGACGTCGACAATCTTATACGGTCATCGTATTAATTTGACACGGCAAATGGTTCCGTAGCAAAAGTGGTCAAACATTTTTCCACCTTCAACAAGCGACCATCATCCAGATGAAGAGATAGTGACGATGCCAGTTTGACGATGTCATTTGTTATATGCTCAGCTATCAGATCATCGCACATGCGCAACACGTACCAACAAAGACAAAATGTCCAACTCCCGCCGCTACGGTAATAATGTCCTCTCATAGATGATCCATAGAAAAAAAAGAATTTCTTTTGTCTTTTCAAAGGACCAATATGCAATCCGAAGAAATTTCATTCGTTTGAAATTCTTTGAATTAAATCTTAACAATCTTTTTTATTTCAATTACTACAGTAATGATCTGGTTAAAATATGGACATGTAGTCACTATTTACGAATCTAAAGTCGAATTTTGTACATTCAAAATAACGAATCCAATATGGCGGAGAGATTTTTGTAACTTCGAAGATTTTCGGAATATAACTCATAAATGTAATGTTAAATTCTTAACCAGTGACACTGAAAACATAATTTTTTTTTGGCGAATTTGATGGATTTTTAAAAAAGTCTGACATATTGAATTTCGAAAACCTGAGAACGGATTCATAATTATAGCGACTTCAAAAACTTCTGAGTAATTTTTTAATAAATTTAGTTTAAAATTAATATAATTTTAAGTCATAATGATGTCTTCAGATATTGTCAAGACACAAGCAGTACGGTAAATTCCCTGAATATCCATTTAAGTTATGAGTACCACA